AGAGTAATGTTAGATGTGCATTTCATAAATAGTAGTGGGGAAGAGGAAGTAGGTAGAGGGAGTGGGCTTGAGAGAGATCTTTTTAGCTCCTTTTGGAAAGATATATATGAATTATTAATGACTGGCGACACTGAGAGGATGCCTGGAATAAGACATGACTTCCAACGGCCACATTGGGAGGCAATAGGCAGAATCCTAATAAAAGGGTTTGTGTCCTGCAGGTATTTTCCTTTAAATCTGTCAAAGGCATTTTTTTATTGACTGTTTGTTTGGAGAAGGAGCAATAAGTAATGAAATCCTTATGGCTTCCTTTAAGAATTATATTTCTGAAAGTGAAAATTGGATCTAATTCAGAGGGCTCTGAAAATGGTCAAGTTGATTTATCAGAATCTGATGAATAGAGTTTCTATCAGATTTTGACTGTAAAAAAGTTGTTAATTCAAATAATTTGAATGAAGTAATTACAGAATTAGCCCACAAAGAAATCATTCAGAAACCACAATATGTTGTTGACTGCTGGAAAAGTGTAATTCCTTTTTTTCTTGAGTACTTTCCTCGTCTGGTAGATATTGAGTTACTATATGAGAGATTAGTTCCTACTGTCTCGAGGGTCATTGCCAGTTTTCAAGCAGAAGAAAAAAATGAAGCAGAGATACCATGAAACATCTTAAACGATTTGTTAGAGGCCTTGACAAAGTGAAACTTGGGAAGTTCTTAAAGTTTGTCACTGGCTCAAATGTTATGATAAGTAATACGATTAATGTTGTGTTTACTTGACTAGAAGGGCTAGAGAGGCGCCCAATTGCTTACACATGCACGTATACTGTAGAAATACCTACAACTTATCAATGCTACCCAGAGTTTAGGGAAGAGTTTAATTTGATTTTAGAAGCAAACTCTTGTGAGATGAATATGGTGTAAAGGATGTATTTTAAGCCTGTTTTGAGTACTCAAGAATAAAAGAACAAATTGTGAGGAAAAGTGTATTTCAAAATTGGCTCTTTTGGCAGCAGAGTTAGACAAGTGATTAGGTGATTCCACTTATTACAGTGTTTCTTCTGTTTTTAGACTTCAAAATGAACCCACTAGTATATTTAAATAATCTATGTCACAAAAGCATTGCATAATGTATTACACACCTTTTAGTATACATTACTCTTACTTAACAAGGCTCTAGTTATAAGCAATTTTAATTGTATTAAAATACAATTAGATTCCAGACACTTGATATGTCAATGGCAATAAACAGCTCGATCTTTTTCGGTCATTTTATTTTACGGGTCAATTTTTAGCACTATCAAATGATTTTGTGGTAAAGTTTCAAAAAAGTTCAGTGTTTGGCTTCTAAATTGTAATTAAAATGTTTTCATGATTATATTTATGAAACTATTCTAGTTCACTAAAAGAAAGGTGTGGTGTTTGTCAATTAGCAGTAAGTTGCATTGAAACGTGTAACCTTGACTAATGTTCACACATGTTTTCTGGTATGTTTTGTTACAAAAGTTAAGAGTTAGGAAAGTTAAGATAATAAATATGAAGAATCAAAGGTCTGTTCCTGCAATGTTTAGTAAAGTTCTGTAAAGATGAAGTGCTTCTTCACAATTCTTGGGAATTTCTAATGGCATGTTTTCTAGAACATATTCAAAGTATTCTAGCTCTACACTTTGTTCCTCTATATATAAAATGTCAGGTTTTCCTTAAGAGACTCTACTTCATCATGTGTCACTTCGCAAAGTAGATTATCTGTACCCCCGTGGAGTTCTGGAAGTAGAGTTCATCAGGTCTACCACTCACAGTAGCATGTCTGGAGCGTCATATGCGGTGTGTATTCCAGTGATCTTTTACTGAATCTAAGTCATTTTGAATTATCTGCGAAAAACAGATCCATAAGCCTTCCACTTGGAGCTCATCTGCCGGATTAAAGATGTCTTACTCAACCAAATTCTTAAAGAAATCGATCCACCAGCTGGAATGGTTTTTAAATAGAAAGGACCACCATCCCTCGATATGTTGATTTGTTGGGGACATCCCATAAATGTGGGCATCAATACTATTCTTCATTGTACACTACATGGCTGCCATTGTCCTATTCTCAGTCCCGCAGTCTGTTCTCAATTTCACTGGACATCCACCAAGTTGAGAGATGGAATCCAAATAAAACTTAGCAATTATTTCTGGATGGTTGTTTGATTTCATTACTTTTAACCACAATATCTTTCTACTCCAACTGTCAATACATCYGTGAATTGGAAACCCATATGGTTTTAGTTTATCGTAACCATCCACATGCCATGTATGATTTGGCCCTGGGGACTTGGCCTTTGTAATTTCCTAGATTTCCTCTGTTTACATCCATCTGAATCAAGCTCTCTCATTAGCCTTTCAACAACATGTCTAGGAACTTGGATATTCTCCATTCATAGAGTATGCCACATACTTCTATAACCACTATAACCACTACTGCTGCCAGGTCCTCTTAGCTCCTTCAAAATTCTGTCTCGAACAAAATCTATATCATAAGTCGGTAATCTTCTTCATAGATTATATTGCCTTAACCAGTTCTTCAATGTTCTGACACTCATGTTAATTTGATGAAATTTTGATAGAAAATTAACTAATTGCAATATACTCGAATCTCCTACTAAAATAGTAGGTAAATAATGTCCTTTTCGCTTCCAGAGGGGAGAGTTTCATTGTCAGCCATGTTCAATGGAGGATCCAGAGTGCGAATACAATTTGGTTGTTTTACATGAGTTTATATTGTTGGCATTTTTGTTTTCACAAAACGTTGTTGTATTTCACAGATTTTTCTTGTGTATACTAGGTTTTTTATTGTGTCTCGCGAAACTTTGTTGTGTTGTACAAAACTTTCTTGTGTTTCACAAAACTTTCTTGTGTTGTAATAAACTTTATTGTGTGCAGTGAAACTTTATTTTGTGTTACAAAAGTTTGCTTTGCATTATGAAATCTTAGTCTGTTACTGCAAATTTTCTTCTTTTTTTTAACTCATAAATTGATTTGTGTTTTGCCTTTGTGGGCCACCGTAAGAATGTAATCTACAGAATACATTTGTATGTGGTTTATGTGTAGTATACATAATCAGTGTCTTATACTGGAGTAATAAAAAAATAGTGAACTGATAAATGTATCTATCTAAAAATCAATGCAATTGCCCTATCACATAATGACATCACACCAAAACATTATTTTGTATTTACACTTAGGATTATGGTCACCAGAGTGAATCAGACTGACTGCATATCAAATAAGATGTACATGAGCAATCATTGATACATGGTGTATATCAAAACTCGATCATACATTGAAGTTCTACTTTCAGAGAGACAATTCATTAAAAGGTTCAAATTTGCATCCATCCCAACTGTAAGCATGCTATGATATCTTTATGAATAGGGCAATTAATTTCTGTGTCAGTTCTGTAAATCAATCCCAACCTAGAGATAATATGCTTTGTTAGATATATATATTGTGTAAATCACCCAAATTAGTGTGGTTCTCTGAATCATACCAAACAAAATTGTTGTGAAATATGGTATGAATATTGAATAGTTTATCCTAAAMCTTGGGGTTTTCATTTCTTTTTTTGTTTTACTCCTCTTATAAAGTGTTGGTTATATGAGTTTTAAATGTAACTACTTCTAACTTCATTCTGCAGTCTTGTTTACCAGTCTCTGGAATTGTTATTGTTCTATCACTTCTGTAACTTGGTGTGCATACTGCCTTCCCGAGTAAATAAATGTATATTCAATGTTATAGAACAATCCAGCAAGCCCACCTGTCTATATACATGGGAAAATAGTTCAGATATCCGGACATAACGTCATATATTTATGTAACTTTGAGTCTAATCAAGATGATCAACAAAAACAATTCACAAAAATTCAAATGCAACAGCAATTGAATCTAGACCTATGAAAAGATACATTAAATTCATTACTGCGCTGCAGAGAACATGAGGTGTATATATATCTACTAAAAAATGTTATAGAACAATGATCTGGTGGAAAGTTACAAAGTACAACAGATACTTTTTAAATATTTAATCAGAAGGACAACCATTTGATCAGTTTTCGTATAAACGTCATACAGAACGAAATATCACATTGAATGACGATCAACTRGAGAAATGTTACTTATGTTCTAAACCCCTACACATCAGTCAGCTATGTCAAAAGTCATAAATTTGGTTTTTAAAGTACAAAAAATCTTCCCCGATTAGCAGTCTTGGCTTTCTTCAGCTGCCATATTGATTAATTCTTGCCAGGCAAAAGGTGGGAACAAATGTTTTGATCTGTGACGTTAGTGATGTATTCCATTGTTTTTGATTCCTTTAGTTCTGGCTATATCCAGATTGGTAATGATCACTCTTTCAAGTTGTTTTACTGTAATTTTGAACTTTTATTATGAGTAAAGTTTATTCAAAAAGGAAGCAGTATTTTCAAACTTAATGAAATATTTTGAAAAAAAAAAAATTGTACAATTTTCTTCAAATTTTTCTTGAGAAGTTATCAATACCTAGTTGTGCTGTATGTGAAGTTTCAAGTTCAAACTGACCATGCAAGAAAAATCCAAGAACATTGTTTAATTTATTACAAAATTTGCAAAGGTCAGTTTGAGCTGGAAACTTCACATACAGCAAGACTAGGTATTGATAACTCCCCAAAGAAAATTTGACGATTGTACAATTTTTTTTTTTTTTTTTTCTTTTGAAATGTTTTATGAAGTTTGAAAAACTGCTTCCTCTTTGAATAAACTTGTAATATAAGTTCCAAATTATGCATGAGTCAATGCGAGCCAACTTGTGAATGAAAGAGCAATCATTACAAAATATTTCGCTAATTTAGCAAGGAAATCGCGACTAATTTGAGGCTACCGTTTTTATTTTTTTAAATTCAATAAAATTCCAAAATCAATACTAACGTGCCACCTTAATAAACTTTGCTATACATACATAAAGCTTTTTTTTTCAATTTCCTCACCTATTTTCCCGACGATATGTTCTTCTTCATAAAAATTTGTCTAGCACATGGTGAAGGAATCGAATAAAGAGCCAAATAAACAAATTTCACATGTAAGCTAATAAACCTAAATTCATAGGCAATCGTGCAAAGGATACAATCAAATTTTCACATTGTTCTTCAAAGTTGCTGTTCTGTAGAAATGGTGAAGATGACGCCATATTGTCTACTACTCTACTACACCTTCTTATCAATTCAAAATGTAAAACAAATGTCTTATTTCGGTCTGAAACTCGTTCTTTCAAAGTTTTATGATTTTGACGCGTGTGTCTGCCATGTTTTTCCATCCAAGTTACCCGCGACGAAGTCACGTGGTTCATCCCAAAGGGTGCGCTCAGGGCGCTTGGAGATACGTATATCAAGCGCCCTGGGCGCTCGGTCTTACAGTACAGCGGGCGTACCTCTTTTTCAACCTTTTATTTTTTCCAAAAATGGCAAAAATGGCAGGAAAGAAAACGAGATTCTTATTCAGAATAGAAGCTGAACAAACAGACAAAAAGGAAACACTTTTCACCTCGTATTTGAGAAAATATATGAAAGGTTTAAGCACTAAAGAAATGTAATTTTTCATTCGCTCCCAGGCACATCAATATGCAAATTTTTTGTCAAGGAACGCCTGCTTAAAATTGTTTAGCTGTTTGGCGGGAAACAGTAGAAGTCACATTTGTGCTCGTACAAGCGAGGGTGATCTGGCGTGTTGTTCTTTGAATTATCATGGTTAAGCTTTCTACTTTACCAGATGGCATTGCGGATAGGTAAGACAGCTAGTTATTCGAGCTATCGCAGTTTTATGTGTCACAGTGCACGTTTATCGAAGAGCAAAGAGCTCAGTCGACTGTATTTGGACTTGTTGCTGAAGCTCGTTGATTTGATTTGATTTTTACTTTTAATACAGCTTGGAGAGTTTAGAGAAAGAGTTTGAAGATGAGCTTCTCACCAAGAAGGTAGAAATATTACGATCAAATGAGTTATTGATCAAATGAGTTATTGATCCTAGGAATTACAAACTTGGCACTGTGCCACTATGAAATGTGTGCCATATTTCTTTGTAAATTTTATCTGATAAAATGGAGATCGATTTTTGCAATGGTTTCTGCTTATTTGCTTTGGGTTGTTTGTTCAAAACTACCGCATCGTCATGTCATGGTATCTAATCAAAATGTCTCTACGAATGTTGTAAAAATAAAACCTGGAAAAAAATGAAAATATATCAAATCGGGCATACTTAATCGATGGAGTCGATAATCGATGGCAGTCGATACCTAATCGATAACAATGAATTAATTAATACTGGAAATTGATGATCAATCAATGAGCAATGTTTGTGTGACATTTCAATCTATGATTGATCATCCACAATCATTGATGATTACTGGCCATAATTCCATCAATTGGTATTTGATTTACGATTGTTATCTTGGTTATTTTTGCCATCGATTAAGTAAGCTTACATCAGATATCAACAAAACTCCATTTTGCTGCATAATGAGCTTATTAAGCTTATACTAATTGAATTTATATTTTATCTATAGGGCTATATCAAGAAAAAATACCTATTGATGAAAGCTTACATTCCACAATATGCCATAGAAAGGTAAGGCCGAATGTAAATGAAGACAATTAAATAAAAAACTTGAAGTAAACTGACATGTGTGATTGTTATAGTATTGAAAGTCTTGAAAAAAAGTCAAAAAATTCTTCCATTGAGGAGGTAAGTAATAATATATTATATTCACTTTTTTTTTTTTTTTTTTTTTTTTTTTGCTGTTTACAAATATGTTCCCATCTAGTACTCCTTTTTACAGATCCCAATTCCATGTTGAAAGATAGTTGCAAGCTCAACTGCTGTCTCTTTTTTATGCAAAAGCTCAGCTGCCTTTCTAGATAGCACTGTATTGAAGTTGCAATTCCTCTTCCTGCAGGAATCCTATCTAAATCAACTGGATGAAATCCTCAATGAATTTCAACCAAGTAAAACTGTTCAGAAGGGACAAGGAAGTAGTAGCTCATGCAGTGATCATGAAATGAGAGACGATAGTGAGCAACATGTGACCAATGGTTCTAATGGATATGCAGAAAGCTTACAAAATGAGGATACAGTACAGGAGGACAAGCATGGAGAAGATAAAAATAGAAATGGCAACTTTGAAGAGAATGGTGATACAGAGGAAGAAACTCCACTTAATGGTTCCTCATGTGAAACAGAAATTAAAACAACCACTAGAAAAAAAAGAAAAGAACAAGAGAAGGTATTTATGTGGTCTAAAGCAATRATTTATAAATTATGATTCCTCTGGCATGTCATGATAATGGGAGAAAGAACACCATGTCTTGGTTGCTGACATGGAGGCTTTGATTTAAGAAGTCATGCTAAGTTCATATTGCACACAAGGGTATGTGTTAATGAATTTAAATTATGACTTGCTTGAAGTAATAAATATCATTTCGTTGAAACTAATAAACTGAGTGGAAATATTCTCACAACTGCTGTATTCTTTTACCTTAATCTTATGAGGCAAAAAACATCACGAAAGCCATGTTTTTTACAAAGCGTCCAGAAGTGGCCAATTAATTTCTGCAAGTCTGTCAAATGAAATGACTTATCCTTTTCAGGAGTGCTGATCAAAAATACTGTAATTTTCAATTGTGATGCCGGTCAAATCAAATGCAAATATAAAATTACATTGATTTCATGGCTTGCATTTGACAATTAACCCAACTAACTTGTCAGTGATTTTTCGCGGTGATTTCTCATGTCTTAATTCGTAGAGCAACAATTGGGCTGGAATTCTTCTCATCTATCTTAACCATTCCTTCGTGGCAAACAAACCATAGCATGAACTCTATGAAGGCAATAACTTTGTTTAGTTTACAGACAAGTTCAGGACACCATCTTCACACATATCGCTCTGTTTGTGTTGTAGCCAACAAGTAGGATCACTAAGTTAAACTTTGAAGAGGCCATGCAATCTTGGCAAAACTACTGCTATCCTGAAACATGCCTTGCACATGTTGCAGAAAGTCCATAACATGAGTGCTTTCATTGAAAATACAGCATACAGATTCTCCTTGACAGCCATTACTCTGGGTGTTCTCCACCACAACCTTAAAGCTTTCTAGGTCACATGGCTCTGTCACATCATCAAAGCAGAGTTGAAAGGATCCATTTTTACAAGCAAGCTCTCCACCAAAGCTTTATAGGAAATATAGACTGAGTATTCTGGCCAGGTCTATGTCTGCAACCTACACAGTGTGGAGTGCTTCGACACTTCCCACATGTACAGTGCACATTACCACATCCTTTAGAAGGTGTGGTGGCTCCATTGGCCAATACCATAATAATCAGCATCCTCCAAAGCTGATTGATCACCTTGGGGAATACAGTTGATAACACCAGGCTTAACTATGGTTATGTTCGCACCAGTATCAACAAAAAATTTACAGGCACTCCCTGAACATAACCCATAGAATAAAGCCTGTCATTGCAGTCCTTAACCTTTTCCAATTTCATAGCTGGATTCCGGAACCATAATGACTATTTAGCTACTGAATTCAGGCCCTGGAGCTTGGCAGATGTGCATTTTTGGGGGTTTAACTTTTGGTTTGTTGCTTTTTGGTAGATTCACTTTGGTGTAGTTCACTCTGGAGATGATTCTTCTCAATTCAGGTCCAGCATCCTTCACCTCAAGGTTGTTGGTATTGTGGCACCTAGCCCAGCTCTTGTACAAGATGCTTTCACTCTTCCAATTCCTTTTGCAGGTCATTGTTAGACTTCTTTGCCATTTCACTTTCATTGATGTTAGTGAATGCAACTTGAGCTGTTCTAGCCAGTCTTTAATTGCAGTTTTGTTTGTTTGTTTGTCTGTTTGTCTGTTTGTTTGTTTGGCATTGGTAGATAGCAAAACAAGCAGGGGACTGGGATTGAGTTTCTCAAATTTGATTTAATTTACAGAAAGACTCTCTCACAAGATAGAGCACATGGAAATTAGCTAAAGTTGAAAATTTGAGCAAGTTTAATTGATTAAAAATGAAAATATAATTTTAACCCCCTCAAGAGGTGCACAAAAACAGAAAAAAAGCAATGGCCCCAGCACAGATCCTTGAGGGACACTGTACATCAGCTCATGTTCAGAGATAGGACACCTTTTACAAGTACTTGCTGATTTCTGCCAAACAAGTAGGATTCAAACCACTAGAGGACAGTTCCACAAATTTCATAGCAATGCCTCAGTTGCACTAGGAGTGCTGCATGATCTATGGTTTCAAATAATAATAAAATAATAATAACAAATAGTATTTATATAGCGCAAAATATCCACCAGGTTCTGATGCGCTGTACAAAATTGAATATAGAACTTGTATGGAAAGTTTCAGGAAAATCGAATTTTTGAGATGGCCAAGATTTTTCGAAAATGTTTGATATTTACAGAAACTCACTCTTAAAAAGAATTTTATATTCAATGCATTGCTCTACAGGCAACCAATGCAAGTTGTAAAGAATAGGTGTGATATGATCGCTGGTTTGCGAGAAAAAGAAATTAATCTTGCTGCTGCATTTTGCACACGTTGTAACTGATTAATAGAAGACTTAGGAAGACCATAAAGCAAAGAATTACAGAAATCTAGTTTTGAAGAGATAAATGCATGTACAAGTGTTTCACGTGCACTGACACTGATCCATTTGCATATTTTCCAGAATGTTTTAGCGTTGAAGGCATTGACGCATTCTTCAAAGAAAGATTGACAATCTTAGAAATGACAGGCGACAAATGGCTTGCAACCAGTTTTAAAAATTTGCCAGGAACAGGGTCAAGCTCACATGATTTAAAGAGAATACAGCTGACAAGTCCAGAAGAGCCAATGCCACCTCTTGGTGTCTATCAATTACGCCCAGAATATCACTGAAAACATGCAGTAGGGCTGTTTCTGTGCTATAGAAAGCCCTATACGCTGATTAAAACTTGGCAAGTAAGCCATTCAATACAAGATAGTTAAGCGTCTGTGTGGCCACTACACGTTCTAGTGTTTTTGAGAGAAAAGCAATGTTGGTAATTGGACGGTAATTGGAATAGATCTTGTTATTGAGTCCATACTTCTTGATGGTTGGACTTATTACCCCTTTTTTCAGTGACATGGGAAAAACACCAGAAGATTATGATGTATACCGAGACACATAAGGTCGAAGTATAATCGCACAAGTGCAAGTAGGAGTATGTTTATCAGTTAAATCATTAAGGATAGTGTTATAAAGATCTGTTAAAGTGTTGGCATCAGTGCAACCATCAGAGCATGAACTATAAAGGGTGGAATCCAGATTGTTACACTACATGTCCAGGTTAATGTTACCTACTTTCCACTACTGAATTTCCTTCTTAGTTGGATGAGGTTTGGGTAAGTCAATAGTGCAGATGACAACATGGTGATCTGTCAGGGTGTAAGGAAAACTGATGATTTCTGGAAAACTGCGCACAATAGAGTCATCCTAATCCTAATGCACAATTACAGAATCAAGGGTGTGACCATGTTTTAGTAGGACCAACCACCTTTTGAACAAATCCAGTTGATGAAAGCATGTCTAAGAATTTTGCAGCGTCAATATTACTAGGGTCATCAACATGAAATTTGAAGTCTCCTGTAATAATTAGGTTGCCTGCAGGTACCACAGCGAGATGTTCAAGAAGAGTAGAAAAATCATTGTATTTGATCTCAAATGCAGCCACCACAACAGTTCTAAAATCAGCTTGGTTTTGTTGTTGTTGTTGAATAAATGTCAGTCACATCAAGGTCACACAGTTTTGCAATCATCTAACTGTTACATAATATCTATTTATGTCATGCAATGAATTCTGTCACTACAGTATTCATCACTGCAATCTCAACTGTTGTCTCACTTTAATGCAAAAGCAGGGCTAACCTTGCAAGATGGAATTTGAACTGTAAACAGAAGTGTTGAAATTATTGAGTTTTCCATTTATTTCTTACATGTTTTATTCAATTTTCAGTCTGGAAAGAAAGCAAAGACAAGTCCACACAGACAACCTGGTATTGCAGAGATTTTTTCAAAAGTGTAAGTATACAAATGTGAGTTTTTAGTAAAATAAGATATATAACAGAGAATTTATTTAAAAGTGTAATGAGTTCACTGTTTGAATAACAGTCCATAAATAGTACAATGCTACAAAATCACAGCCAGGTTTTGCATGTTCATTACATGGGCTTCCTGTGGAAGCTCATGTCTTAATTTACCTTTTCTTCAATCAATCTATCTATCTATCAACGTTGTGTATAGTCCCCCATGATGCTTTGCGATTGAACCACAGGGATCCCAAAACAATAGTTGTCACATGGTTGGTCGATCGAACTACGAACGATGAAGATGTCGAAAAAATTACATACTAAAAGGCGTACTTCGAACGGGTCGTTTCAAGATTTATCTAACTGACCCGTTTTTAACTAGTTCGAYGTTCCAAATATCACTCCAAGCTACCTAAAAACTAACGGAACGTTGATAGCTGACATGAAAACTGACTCTACCAATGCTGAAATGAAGACATCTGATGCTATGGAATTCAAGAATCTTCATGAGCAAGGAATTTACGGAGAATTTAAGGCGAATTGAACAAGAAAGCTGCTATTGGATTTATATTTCGATATTCCATGTCGTCAATAGTTCAGTTTAGTAAATCAGTACTTTCAATTATTTCTTCTATTGACAATTTTGATCTGTCTATGTGTTTTGATTATTGTATTCAGTTCTTATAAAAAAATGATTTAATAACATTCTTATGGACTTTATGTAAGCTTACAAATCATTGCACTTCGTTTCCAACGTTGATCGGTGTAAACATTGTTGAAAACTTTTCGTATAACCTTGCTAACCGCCAACTGTTGATGTCTGTAATGTAAACATTTATAAAACTGGAATTTTTAAAACTGGCACTTTGCAGCTAGATGTTTTTGAGATGGCGTAGCACACATGCCGTCCAGTCGTCTAGGCGTAAATAACATTGCTACAGGAAGCCCATGTAAACGCTTTTGAGCGTTTAGTTAATTTTACAATGGTGACCCAAAGGCAAGGTTTAAACAGTTTTAAACCTGTTTTAAAGCTCTTGCAAATCAGAATAAATTGTTATCTTTTGATATAGACCTTTTCATGCTTTTTTTTTTTTATATATATAGTCTTTGCCTCATTGAATATTCCTGAGTGTTTTTTGTTTGCTTCAGTCCATGCAAAAGAAAGGGACCTGGAAATGGTGATGACCAGGAAAGTGCATCTAGTAGTGGCATGAGTGGTGCAGATGTTGATACTGCAGAAACCCAGGTACAAAGACACCATTTTATTATTTCTGCCTGTACTAAGTTAAAAAATACAATACAATGCAACACAATTTATTGAAGTATTCCCAAGACGTACATGGTATTACTTATGTATAGACTAAATATTGATGTGCTTATTTTACAAAGTTACGGTAATATAATTGTACAGAAACAGCAACATATAGAATGATATATATAACATAATAGATACAGCTATTTGCAATAATTCTGACCCCCCTACACTAATATTCATATATATCAAAGTAGCCTTAGAAATTATGGGATACCAATGCTGATATTTTTTTGAGAAAGTACTCATTCTGGGCAACTCAAAAAATATATCAATCATGATATCCCATAATATTTAAGGTCAGTTTGATATATATGAAATATGGCAGAGGGGGTCAGAATTATTGCAAACAGCTGTATACATAATATAATATATAAATCAATATTTGTGATTAAGACTTGTAAGAAAACATTGTGTTATTTCTTTTCATTGTATAGTTATATTATAAGCTGCAAAAGAATTGTAGATAATTGGATCAATACTGTTGAAAAGAAATTTGATTTTGTTGGAGTTGTCAATTTCGAAAAATTGAAGATGTTTTTTGCTTATTTGATTGAAGAGTTTATTTCTTTTGATAGCATAGTGATTGCATATTAGTATAAAGTGCTATTCATCTTCAACCTTATTTCACTACAAAATACACAATCTTAGATGGTTTTGTTTTTTAGGTTTTATGTCTACCTGTTTCAATAGACCTTTTGCATCAATTGGTCACATGGTACAAAACTGCCATACTGGATGACAATTAGTATGCATATGGCTACAAAATTAATCTTTAGTTAACCAAGGAGAAGTTATTTTGCTTTAAGATAAAGAGTAAGCAACTTCAAAAACAAAATTATCTCTCCATGGTTGACTTAGATTGTTTTTATAGCCGTGTACATTCTTAATAACCATCCAGTATAGCAGATTTTGTACCATGTGACCGACTAATGCAAAAGGCGTATTCTTTACAATGGCCAAGAAGGGCCTTCTGATTTCCGATTTTCGAAGATTTCCAATTTCGGACTTCTGATGTCAGACTTTGATTTCCGATTTCCAAGATCATCATTGCTCCTTACATATTGTTTTATCTATGATTCATTATTTAATTAAATTTAAATTTTTAATTTATTTAAATCAGAAGTCAGAAATCGGAAATCAGAAGTCAGAAATCAGAAGTCAGAAATCAGAAGTCAGAAATTGGAAATCCGAAGTCAGAAGCCTGAAATCAGAAGTCTGAAATCAGAAATCAGAAGTCAGAAATCAGAAGTCGGAAATCAGAAATCGGAAATCAGAAGTCAGAAATTACAATTCAAAAATTCTAATTAATAATAACAATATTTATTATTTATAGTGTTAGATCACACTATTCTAGTAGCCAAACAAGACAAAAGATATGAACATGAGATAAAAAATGCAGAATAATATATATTAATAATGAATCATAGATAAAACAATATGTAAGGAGTAATGATAATCTCTGAAATCATCAGAAGTCCAAAATCAGAAGACCAAAATCAAAAATCAGAAGTCAGAAATCGGAAGTCAGAAATCAGAAGTCGGAAATCAGAAGGCCCTTCTAGGCTATCCTAATAATTCTTAGATTGTGGTTTCCTATTCTCAGTTTTGAAATTGTTCTTTTGTGGTTGAGGTTTTTAATGTAGTCTAAACTTACAGTCTGTTTTGTTAGTCCAGGAGCATATGTAGAAAAATTAAGTCCCGTGGGATTTTTAGGCTGGAAGCAATCCACCTATCTGAAGTGTTAAAGGGGACACCAAGGAACATTAAAAATGTAGGTGGCACTTTTGTAACTCGCACTGAGTGATTTAACAAGCTTTTTTCGAAATGCCAAGAAATACTCAACATGAAAACGAGGCTTAAGCTTAAAAATGGTAATAACTTTCCATTTATTAGACCAAATTTACCCCAATTCACAGAAATGATACACTTCAATGAGTTCTTCATTATACAAAATTATAGAAGTGATCACGTGACAACATTTACATGAAAACGAGGCTCAAGTTAAAAATGGCTATAACTTCCAATTGATCTGACCAAAATCACCCCAATTTATAAATATGATGCGTTTGATAGTTTCTTTAATTATAAAACCCTATAGAAGTGGTCATGTGACTATACATGAGACAAYATTTACATGAAAACGAGGCTTATGCTAAAAATGGCTATAACTTACATTTTATTTGATCAAAAATCTCCCCAATTCACTAATATGATGCGTTTTGATACACAATGGTATTGGCGAGAAAACCAAGCTCTTACATAAAACGGTTTTGTTTCTATAGTCAAACTTGCAATTTTATATTGTATATAAAGCATAGATATGAAGATGTCAAATTAACTAGTATTTAATTTAGTTTTGCTGCGCAAGATAATGCCTATTATCTTAAATGAGAATCAATCCTAGATCAAAGCATAATAAATCAAGTAAAATATAAACAACTGCTTAGATACAACAACTCTAATTTTCTTCACTTTCGTATTCACTTCAAGAATTGTTATTTTTTTCATCATCATTGCTGTTTTCACACATCTCTTCATTATCTAAGCATGGGTACAAAATTCCCCGGCAACTTGTTGAGCTTTTCGACAGGAACAACCATTTGTTTGACATCTCGATTTCTTACTGCTGTCTTGAAAGACTAAATAGCGGACGCCAGCTATAATATAAAAGCAATAAACGATAGCTTGAAGGGGTGTACTGGCAAAATAAACCACTTGGGATGGTTAGGAGAACACTCAAAAAGATAAATCACTCGCCTGACAGCTCGTGATTTACTGATCTTTTCTCGTGTTCTCCCAACCATCCTGCGCGGTTTATTTCGCCAGTAAACCACTTCAAGCTATCATTTATTGCTTAAATATAGGTGTCTGTAAGGTGTCCATAATATAGAGTTGGGCATAATATAAAGATGTCAGCAGTATAGCCTGCATAACCAGTCCTTATTGGGGGCCTGGAGAGAGGAATAAAGAGGGCCTATGGACACATCACAGTTTTTTGAGTGTACACCCCTAATTGCTGTCCCATATCAGTGCCAAAAATGAACCAATAAGCATTTGGCAGATATGTAAAGTCACACCAACCATCACAATTTGTAAACAAACAAGTCATCTACTAAACATGAGAAAATTCAGATTTTGATTTTCAAATTAAGTAACCCTAAGAAAAAACATTACCACGCTAGTCTTCATTGATTTACGTGAACTACAAACAAAGTTGGTCTAGACACATGTAAATACATTTGAAACTAGTTTATGCTTCAATCATAATGGCAAAGTTATTGCAAATTGTGTTTCAGGAGTGTAAGAAACCCAACCAATAACTTCTAAATACAGATGAATTTAATATAACTGCTGTTCGACTTTGAAACTTTCACTGAATCTTAGATCGTTTACTTCTTGATTGATTAATGACATGAGGCTATGGGGTCAAGTGAAAATTACCTTTCCAATGATTGAAGCGCAGCTCATTGACACTTATCATCCAATGAAATTCAACATACACTATGTGTACGTTTAATATTCAAAAGGCCAAGCCATGTCCACAGTCCCTCTTTATTCTCTCCACGGGCATCCCAAGAAGGCTGGCTGTTCAGGCTATTAGCAATATGGAGTAGGGTGCATAATATAGAGGCCCATGATATAGGTGCCTGTAATATAGAAGGGGACCCGCAGTTATTTCAAGCCCTGGGTTGTAATATAGAGGTGCCTTTAATGCTGTAATATAGAGATGATTGTAATATAAAGGTGATCATAATATAGAGGTGGTTGTAATATAAGAGGTGACTGTAATGCTGTAATGTAGAGATGATTGTAATATAAAGGTGATCATAATATAGAGGTGGTTGTAATATAAGAGGTGACTGTAATGCTGTAATATAGAGATGATTGTAATATAAAGGTGATCATAATATAGAGGTGGTTGTAATATAAGAGGTGACTGTAATGCTGTAATGTAGAGATGATTGTAATATAAAGGTGATCATAATATAGAGGTAATTATTTGAAGGTGGCTTTAATATAGAGGATGGCTATAATATAGAGGTGGTTGTTATATAGAGATGGCTATAATACAGAGGAGCCTGTTATATAGAGGTGTCCCTAGTATAGAAGAGTCTGTAATATAGAGGTGCCCATAATATAGCAATGACTGTAATGTAGAGGCATCTATATGGAGAGGTTTCATTGTATTATGTTTGTCACATTTCACATTAGCAAGAGAAAAAGATTAAACTGGATGACAATGGGGATGAAAAGAAAGGCAGTGCTGAACCAGATTCTAGGTACCACCTTTTATTATATAACAATCCTTTTGTATGTTATGTTCTAAATGAAAGCATTTTGAGTTGGACTTCTAGTCCACAGACCTTGGCCTGATTTAAAGACAGGGCAATCACCTTGTGTCCTTGGGCAATACACTTTGCTCTCTTAATGCCTTGTATACAAGAGATAAATACCAAGAATGGAGGCAATAAGCCCGTAAAGCCCTTGGGGCCTACAGCCTCTCGTGCTTTATATGGCTTATTTTCCAACATTCAAGGTATTTATCTGACTGATTACATGATTGAGGAGGTTTTCAAACAAATATCAATGCCAAACAATATTAACGATCTGATCATTGTTACTGAATTCCCAGAAGGAAATCTGAAACAATTKCTTTTTAATTCTATTCAGGGTTAAGCTAACAAATCTCAACTACAACAGACAAAAAGACATTTTGTTAATCAGTTCCTATCAGTTAGCTAAGTAGCATAGTGGTATAAGATGGGTATTTGAGTGCAGAAGGGCTCAGGTTTGAATTCTACAGGCTATATATCAAGATTTTTTTCACCAGAGTTTGCAACTCAGTATGTGATTTCAAGGGTCAGCAGAAAATTTCTAAGTCTAATGCACAAATTAAGATGGCTAAGGGAAGTATGGGACAAGAGCAACATCTGGTTAAAGCCCTCAAAATTGAGGACGATATCTGTATAAAGCCCTTGAATACATAATAGCCAGGGTAATATGAGAGATAAAGCCCTACAAAGAACAAAGAATAATCTTGAATAAGGTTATAAAGCCAGAGGTCTCATCACTTAATACTTCATAATTGCATAGAAGGGACAAACTAAAATACAGCTAGAAACCTAATGTACATTATTATGCCAAGCACTTCAAAATGTTTAAAATTCTTTGAAAAATAGAAGAATTTTTTTGTAAGATCAATATTGTTTTGTCTCCTAGAAGTTGTGCAATTATATTAAACTGCAATTGTACATGTTCTGTATTTTATCATAATTTTGAACTGCTTTCATCCAGCGAAAGCAAGAGGAAAAAGATCACAAACTCTAAAGTTCAGGTAGGGATAGCATCATCAATTTTTTACAAACACATGAATCAGTTGCTGTTTTCCTGATCTGGTGAAGTAATTTGGACAATATTTGCTAATTATGAAAGTTCAAACAGGCATACATGTATAATCAATGTTTCTTTAAAGAAACCACTCCCATACTTTAATGGCAGAATATCTTGAAAAAAGATGTGGCTGTGCTATTTCTATGATAACTAACAAAGGCAATTTTCACAGATTCCACCCAGATGTAATGAATGCCGTCAGCTTCTAAACAATTCAGAATTGAGGATGTTTAGTGGAGATGGTGAAGATGCTGTAAGAATAATATCATTATTACTGGATATCTGTGTACCTGTATCTAGTTTTGGTTTGGTATGGTTTCAATATTCTAAAAAAAAAATTAATACTATGTACTTTTAGGTGGAAGAGTTTATTGCTTTGGTGGATCCTAAGCTGTCATTGTTTACAGGAGAAGAAGAACAGTTTGGTAGCTATGATGACAAACCACAGCATAAACTCACCAACTTCAGGTAATGCCTTCAAATAACATTTTTCTTCATATACTAGTGAGTCTGTATCTGTTTAAAAAAATCCACCAGAACTGCTCACTGCACAGGTCTTTTAATGCTTTCTAATAAATTAAAGAGTGCACTGATTCAATATTTTTTGCTCTTTTACATCCAAATGTCTAATGATAAGTGATTCCTCAGTGTAAGTCTATTTTCAAAAAAGAAAAAGAAAGAAAGAAAAAAGAAAAGAAAAAGAATTGAAAGGAAGGAAGAAAACAAAAATTCACTCTAATTTTAAGACCTCAGGCTAGGGTGCAGGTGATAAGTGTTTCAGATTATGACCAGGCCATCTTTAAGAGTCTTATCATAGTCAAAATTATCCATGTTGCTACTTTGATATTTCTATTCACAAATAAATTATCGTATCTTCTCACATGAGAACAAAAACCATAAGTCCTTTACTTCATATCATTTATCAATCCATTGTTTGTTTATTCATTTTCGATTTCATTATTCATCTAGTGTATATGACAAGAATACCCACCTGTGCCCATTTGATACTGGTCTGGTCGAGAAGAATGTAGAATTGTATGTAAGTGGCTACGTAAAGCCTGTGTATGATGAAAACCATGTCCTGGAAGGTAAGACTGCTTGTAGAAATGAAATAGTGTATCTGATATGCAAGTACACTTTATTCACAGTAATGTAATAATGCTCTGTCATCAATTCAGGTGGTGTCCCCACAAAGAACATGGGTCCAATCAATGAATGGTGGACAGCTGGATTTGATGGAGGAGAAAAAGTTCTTATTGGATTCACAACAGGTAAAAAGGCTGTGAATAATGACACCACCACCCCCACCCCCTCCCTTTTCTGCTTTTCCTTTTCCACTTGTCCCTCTCAGCAACATTATGCCATGTCCTCTCTATCTCTATCCTTCCTTCATGAACTGTTTTCCTTCCATTTTTAACTCGGAGATTGCGTTAGCAATCGTAGAGTTATTGGGAGGGGACAAGCTGTCACTCGCTCGATCGCTCGCTCGCTCGCTCGATCACTTTCCTGTAAATTTGAGCCTGCGATGTTTTTGTCAGCAGTTATTTATTTAATCATATTAATATATTCTACTTACTTGGTCTAAATGGTCTCCCTGTGCTTTTCGATTAATCATTGTATATATTAAKATATTCACTAATTTGGTTACTATAGTAACTTCTATTTTATGAAATTCATTTTAGACGGTCCGCCTGTGTTGTTTCAGCTGTGAAATAAATTTCATGTTCCCACTAGGTTTCGAACCCGCGACCTCTGAATTGTACGCCAAGCGCCTTAACCGATTGTGCCACGGTGMCACTTTGATGAAACTTGGCGTGTTTTAGTAGTTTTATAGAGAGCACTGCTGTTCGAGTCCAGCTTGAGACCGGACATTTTTTCTTTTTTTCTTTTTGATGTTTTGGAGATTCTCTTTTCTTTTTCTCCTTTTTCTAATAATAACAAACATGTTTCTGCATAAAGTTTTGTTTTTAAGAAATTCTTTTAATTTTTGCGAACGGTAAAATAAGGTTCACCGTGATGGGTTTCCTGTGTTATATGCTGTGGATTCAATCGATATTTGCCGAAAACAACTGACYCATCGCACTAACTTAAAAACCTGGATTCAAGAGGAGAAAAAATTGTAAAAATTATATTGTTTGACGTAGAATTGTACCGATTGCAATAAGTTTTGACTGGGTTTTCGCTTGGAGTACGTGTCAACATGGCATCTCTGCTAAAAGTATTTCACGGCCTTATAAATAAACTTCAAGCAAATGGACGGTTTCTATTCCGCTTTAGACTTCAAGGTAAGATAATAATGTACAAAGCTTAGCAATGACATACTTAAATCTTAAGTTTATCATATGAATTACAAATCAAACTTTTYAGGCTGTGTCAACCTGCCCGTGAGTATTCATTGTTTTAATAGCTTAATAGTTGTAATAGCATAATTAGCTTACGTACCGATCGCTAAACCCAACCCAAACCTTTACCCTAAACCTAACCTAGAGCTAACCAAGGACTTTTGTTCAGTAATTCTGTATTTTTTTTTTTTTTTTTGCAAACGGACATTTTGACTTCCACTATTTACACGACAGCCGGGCATGTAAGTTGAGACAGACACTTTGAACTTTATGTCACCTTTGTTAATTTACATGTAACTTAAGCTGAAGCTTTTCCTTTTATAAATTTCGATGTCTCTCTGAACTAATAAGCTTATATTTTTATCAATCAACCTTAATCCGCTTAACAGTGATTGGAAGAAAAGCACTGGAATAATTCTGCAAAACTGCAAATCGAGAGCATAAAGAATAATAAAAAAAAACAATGTGGATTTCATACTTCAACAAAGGAGCTCAAAACAAAGTTATGATATACCAATTCACTTGTTCTTTCAATACATGAAGGCATTAGCTACTCAAATTTTTCACTAATTTTTCACTTATCTTGTTAGTTAATACTATTTTTTTAATCCAATTTAAATGTTGAATTGCATTTTCCCAATACTGTTCTGATCTTATTGTTCTGATTTTTTATGATCACCTACTGTATTTACATGTTTTTGTAAATAACTTATCTAATGTGTTAATAAAATGCTCAAAATACAGCTGACCATCTTGCAAAAGCAGCTCTTACAATCTCCGAGTTATGTTGCCATTGGCAGCTTGTTTTCTTTTCTTCCTCATTTCTTCATTCCTGTCTACTTCCTCCCTTCTTCCCTTCATTTGTCCCTCCCACTCTCCCTTTCTCCTTTTCTTCTTCTCCTTCATTTTTTCTTTCTGTTTATTTCTTCTTTAATGAACTGTCTCATCCTATCCTTCCTTTTTGTCCAGATGTTTCTAGTTTTTGTAATCTTTTCTTCTTACCTACTTTGACTTCCATTACAACCATTGGTTTTAGCATTTGGTGAATACATTCTAATGCAGCCTTCAGAAGAATATAAACCCTTCATGGAAGCCATGGCAGAGAAGGCTCTACTCAGCAAGGTACCTTGGAAGAATTACTGTTCAATTTTTGTTCCATCACAAGATGGCAGCCATAATTGTTGCAATGCAGGAACACAAACAATAACATACTTTTACATGAGAACGAATGCAGTGTTTTAAGGAAATTGTAGGATAAGATATGGTATTGTCTTGTTCTATCATCCAACATATAATTATAGTTTTGCATTAGAATGAACGTAACTTCTAAATAATCCAATTGTTTAAACCTCTTTAGATTGTAATTGAGCTTCTAATAGAGAATGCAGATGCAAGCTATGAAGAGTTGCTATATAAAGTACAGGTACATGTGTATATTAATAGTCAGAACCTGTCCAATTCCATAATTCTTTGTACTTACTTTAAAATATTTCCTATCAAGTGGTTTTTAATTAACTTTACTTACCAAATAACATCAATTTTGTTTAGACTGCTATTCCATCAGATAATTGTACAGAGTTTACTGAAGAGTCCCTTTTGAGACATTCACAGTTTATAGTAGAGCAGGTATTATTTGCTTAGGATATGTATTTCTGTATCAATTACTAACAATTTATTATAATGAGCACAAAATAAATTAGTAGCTGAGAATTGTGCAAACAGTGTGATGTGTTAATAGTTATGGCATGTTATTAACTAATTTGTTTACTGGTTCATTTATTGATTTAACAAATAAAGGTTGAAAACTTTGACGAAGCACGAGATTCAGATGAGCTTCCCTTGTTGATTAGCCCATGTATGAGAGATTTTATTAAACTCAGTGGAGTGACACTGGGCAAGAAGTAAGTTTTTTAACAATTTTTAATTGTGTTTATTATCATAATTATTATTGTCATGGTATATAGTCATCATAATTAGGATATAAATGGCAATCATGATGCTATCATTATCATCATTATCACTGATGTAAGGGTACCTTGTTGCAGACTTGTGTTCTGTTGTTCCTATTACCCACATATATATTCATATATAAATGTATGCATGGATTCTTAAACAAATGAATAAATAAACAAATTAATAGATAGATAAATAAATAAATAAATGTATTTTTTCTATAAATATAACTTATTCTATTATATAGATATCACTTTTTCATACAAATATGTACTCCATATCATGGTTATCAACAATAAGTAAGCATGATTGATTGATTTGAATTACTTGTATATTAAGGCGAGGAGCAAGAAAAGTTAAAATAAAGACAGAAGTAAAGAAGCGAGGCCCTACAAAGGTTCACAATAATTACTTATCATATATTGTTAGTTATCAATAATTGAATGATATGCCCACAAACCTCTCTAAGCTCATAGCACCAGATTGCATTTTGCTTTTAGGAGAATACATCAGTATTGATAATCAAGGATTATATTATTCTGTTCAATTGAAATGTCACTAGATCATCTATGTTATAGCTACATTAATTATACTTTAGATTAGCAATCATGTTACCTAATTTTTATTTTTTTTATTTTTTTACTTTTTTATTATTTATTTATTTTATTTTATTTTTTTCCCAGGCCACTACAACCCCTCTTGTTCGGCACATTTTTGACATATTCTTCAAGAATCAAATTGAGGGTAAAGGTGTCTCAGCACCACGTCGTACGAGGTGTGGTATCTGTGAAAAATGTCAGCAACCTGACTGTGGCAAGTGTAAATACTGCCGGGATATGGTGAAGTTTGGAGGCACTGGACGCCAAAAACAATCATGCTTGGAAAGGAGGTACAGAGATGATTACTAAGGAAATTAATTGTCTGTTTGTTCATGCTCATTCATTTCCCTGCCTCCTTCCTTTCTTCCATCTCTCATTCCCTCCTGCCAATCCTTCCCTCTTCATCTGTTCATCCTTCTTCCCTTATTCCATCTATTTTCCCTAGTTCAAATCTTCCTTCCTTTCTTCCTTGTTTACATTCTTCCCATCTCTCCATTCTTTCTTCTTCTTTCCCCTTTATTTATACATCCTTTTTTCTTTCCATCTATCCCTCTTTCTATCCATCCAATCATCATTTTCCACTTTTAAGCCTTCTTCACTCTCTTCCTTATTTCTTATCTCTTCATCTTTCTTCCCCTCTAACTATTTATTTTACCTTCTTATCACTCCATCCTTTCTTCTACCCTTTACTCCATGTGTTCTTCTCCCCTTTCATTTGCTTCCCTTCGTGTTGCCTTCCTGCCCTGCATCTCTCCCTCCTTTCATCCTTTCTGCACTCTATTTATCTACCCTATAATGAAGGCAGGAACCTTTATTTTTTATTCACTCTTTAACTCAGAGATTGCGTATACAATCGAAGATTTATTAGAAGGGGACAAATTATGCTAAAACAAAATGCCACTCACTTTCTTGTAAACTTTCCTTCATTAACAATTGTTAAATTTAGATTTTAACTTTCAGTTAATTATCACCTCACATTTATATTCAAATTATGTTTAATTGTCAACTCACTTTCCATGCTTTTTACCAGCATGTTATTGTTGCATCTGTTACATTATGATTGGTACGCTTACCTTTTATTGATGCCATGCACAATTCACTATTGCGTTTCTTGTGTTGTATTCGTATCTAAGCAAAAAAGGGTGAGATTTTGCCAAATTATCAACACATGGCATCATAGTGGACAGGAAAAAAAATTTATGCGATCAAGATCATTCAAGAGATCAAAAAAAGAGTCTTTTTTATGCTATCCTGGTATTACTGTAACTCTTCCAACGAAATAAGTTTAAACCCAGACTTGCAGTCCAGACAGTTTGTTGCTTCAGAGAAAATTTTATTGTTACTTTGAACATCAAAATTTGACTTTGGAATGAAGACTTGAAGTAAAACAGCAGCACATTGGTGTCTGTATTACACTTTGGACTTCATATCAGGTGAGTGTATATTCATAACATGAGTACTGCTATTCAGTGTTGAAGTCAGTGCAATAGCCGGCATCATCAATTTGAAAATAATTGTCTAAACTAATAGTGATATTGATAGCAAACAAAATATAAGCTTGAGCTATTTGCCAGCGATGTGTGATTTCAAGACCAAATTCAATGTCATCAATAAAATGAAAAATATATATATTCTAGGACACAGAATTTCTACTGATATCTGCAGGATCTGTACTTGAAAGGCAGCGCTGAAATTATTCAACAATAACACCAAATTACTATCAAATCGAGTTTGAAAAGGTAAACGTACAAATGATAATATTGTAATATTGACTRCATTATTAAATGGTCCAATGTTAAGCTAAATCATACTCTAATAGTAATGAGAAATGAATTTGTGCTTGTGGGAAAAATACTTTATTATTTGCAAACCGCATTTCCACTCTGAACTTTAGAAATGAACTTGTATCAAGTTGTTAACACTCAAAAAAATTCCCTTTGAAAAATACATCATTTTGAACATGAATAGCATTATGTAACATAAGATGTATCAAATTTCTAGTCTTTTTATAGATTTTATCTAGTTTTACTCAGTTTTGTATTGGTCCATTTCCATTTATAATAACAACTTTTTCCTACTTAGAGATAAGCCCTCATTACTTAGTATTCTATTATCTTTATATGCATTTGTTACTATTGACAATGACAATGACAATGATTTGTTTATTCGAGCTAATTTCGCAGTCCGAGGACTGAATTGACATAGCTGATTACAATTKTGCACCATATTTATAAGTTATGAAATTTGCAAATCGATTTGTGCGAACTGGTTTTAAGACATTGCGCACCCCGGATCTTAGGGAATATGTAGGGACCCTGGCTACGTGCAGACTACTTATAAGTCCATACAAGGGATTGTCCGGTTTAATGTTGTTGATAAACTTGCTACAAGCCTCTAATCGACGGCTTCCAAGAGATGTCAAATCGACTTTCGCTAGTGCTTGATCGTAACTAGCATCAGGAAAAATTATTGCTAAGGCCCATTTCTGTACCCTCTCTAGAATGTTACARAGATATTCAGGAAGATCCACAAAAACTACACTAGCATACTCTAGGATTGATCTTATCAGAGAACAATACACTTTAACGATATCACTGGTTGAAACTCCACACTTCCTGAGTTGTCTTAAGTAATAAAAGCRTCTGTTGGCCTTCTTCACTATATAATCACAATGCRCGGTTCCAGGTAAGATCCTGCGATAAAATAACACCGAGCAGCTTAAAAGACTACACTTCCTCAATAAACGATCTGCTAACAGCTATGGAACAAGGCGCACAGCTATTATATTGAAGAAAGTCAACAGTAAGGCACTWACATTTGCGCGGGTTTAACTGCATGTTGTTACTTATTGCAAATGAATTGATATCKTGAACAATAAAGAAGGGTTTATATTGGTATTTGCCTGATGATTGCTTCGGCATGAAACTCTGAGTAGCAATAAATGGTATTATAACTCAACTCCATTAGAGCAGATTTCATATGAGTGGGAAACAGGCGGTACTGTGCTGTAACCATAATCATACTGTAACCAAATTCTAGTGCCCCATTGATTCACAAAAATTGTGCAGGCCAGGTCYGGTAACTGTGCAGTAACCGTGCGGTAATTTCTACCGTACGTTTCCCACTCATACGAAATTGACTSTATTATTATTCTTATATGTATGCAGTAATTGGAAAAATATTTGTCTGCTAACATATATCATATCTAGTGCATCATGGGTATTTTTTCTGTTTTTACTCTGTTCTCGCTAAATACGATTGCAAATTGATCAAATTCTTTGGCACTCTGCTTATCTAGACTAATTCTAACATTATCTGCAGTTAAATTTAAAATTTAAGTCTTTACATATTGATATATTTAAAATTCAAAATAAATAGATGAATAAATAGATAAATAAATAAAACTGTTGGATGTACATAGTGTATTTTCATGATAGCAGTGTTTCATATGGCCTGAATGGGACCACACTCATCAGGTAAAGTGATACAGACAACAAACTACTACTACTATTGATATATGAAGTTTTGTTCAGCAAAAAGTTTTTATGATGACAAAGCAGTCTTATTTGTTATTTATATCTAAAGATTTTGCTTAATTTGTTTACTCCCAGTGATGTCATCATGGAATGGYTCTGGGGTGAGGTATTAGGAACCTTTAGATTTGAGAAGGAGAACAAAGACAAGTACGTGTTGTGGCCGTGCATCTACATTGTGTATGTGTGAGCTAGTGTAACAATGTCATGGCACAGGAAAGTCATTGTCTGCCACTCGTTGACAATGAAATTTTGACAAAAAGTCGTTCAGAAGAAAACAAGTTTTCAGAGGTGAGTTTTTTCATTTTGATTTCACTAAATTCATTTTAAAATTTATCCTAACTATCCTTGGTTTACTAATAAAAATTTTGTATGAATAAAATTATGTATCAAAATACGATTTCAATTATATTTTAGTTTTAAAATATCTTCTGTTGGTGTAGAAATTTGCTGGCTCAACCATGAAATAAACAAAGCAGTAATTCAGAAATATCATTTGCAGTAGCATTTGATAGCAGTTTTGACTTTGAATATTGTTTAAGGGACTGTTCATTTTTTATCAGAAAGAGGGGGCTAGTGAAAAAGTGGAGGGAGGGCACCCAAAAAAATACAGCCTAAAAAGGGGAGCCACCTGAAAAAATACAGGCAAAAAGGGAGGGGGTCACAAAATATTTCGGGCATTTTATAAATGGACATTTCTTTTTACTTAAAGTTAGCAACTGCTACCTACATAACCTTCATTCAATCTAGAACTAAAACTTTCAATTTTGTCAACAAATTTGGCATTGTTGCATAGCCCATGAGCTTGTTAAAGGATTATCAGATCTAATATAACAATGCACAACAAATTTGTTTTCAACCCTCATACTCAGCTTCACTGGTRTCCTCCACGTCCTCCTTTTCATCATCATCATCATCAGCAACATCACCATTGTTGTCATCCTTTTTTTGAATTCATATAAATGTCATCATCTTCCTTTTCATGATCTTGATTTCCTTTAGCATGTTCTTACTGATACAAGATTTCGTACTCTTTGTCCAGTATGCATTTCTTGAGATTATTAAGAATCCTACTGGTAATGCATTGGTAAGTTTCGTAACTAAATTGGCAACTTGAGTAGCATCTCGAATTGACAGCTTTGATGCATTTTCCATGTCAGTGAATTGTTTTGGGACCTATTTTTGCGGCTGTTCTCCAGTTTCTTTTTTGATCTTGCATGATATTTATTCCCTTGAAGACTGTCTTAAACTCTGTTAATTGGTCTCCTAGTGTCCTTAATTCCTCAGCCACTTATAAGCCTGTCTCATGGAATGAATGCAGAAATTCATTTCCTTGTTTTAGTTTTTGGCCATTTGTGTTCCACAAACTAGCATCATGGTCCTGAAGGTTTCTTTTGTGCAACTTTGTATTCCTTGATGTGATGGCTAAACATAAGAGGCTTGTTTTAAGATAACTTTTTTTTAAACTATGCCCATACTAAGCGCAGTTTGTGTAGTTACGATATTTTCGTACACCACAGTATTTGTAGTGGCGTTAGTAAGCATAGTAATCTATAAATTGACTAAAAACGAACCTCCCTATTTGAATACGCACGTAGTTTGCATAGTTATGATATTCGTACATCACTGTATAGTGTACTGCCGTAGTAAGCGTAGTGGTAATATAAAAGTACAATATTCTGTACACCCATATAGCGTAGTGGCCGGGGGTACTCCCCTATATTTGCTATGCAGGTATGTGTCACGCTATAGGGTATGGTTTTTCAACTTTAAGTCTGTGGTAGGGTATCCTTTTTAACTCGAAGATTGCGAAGCAATCGAAGAGTTATTGGAGGGGGACGAGTCTGTCACTCACTCAATCACTCACTCACTCACTCACTTTCCTGTAAACTTGAGCCTGCGTTACTTCAGGACTATTCAGAACTATTAATTTATTCTATATTGTTTTCTAGTAATTTATTCATTAATTTGCCGTTACCGGTTTCCCTGTTCTACATTTGATTATTTATTCATTTATTTTTTGGCAAAGAAAGAAATCTAAAGAAATGTCATCTCCTCTGAGTCTCGAATCTCAGACCTTTGATTTAGAAATCGAAAGCACTTCCATTCGGCCACGCATACCAATGTTACATAATTGCAGTTAGACTTGTCTTTTAACTGCAGGTGCTCGCTCCTGGTTGTCAAAAATCAAAGTTAAAAATAATTAGATTGTAACTAAAAAGAAAACTGTATTCATAAAATAATGTAAAATTTTATTTGAAAAGTAATTATAATTTGATTCGACATACCGTTAAGTCGCTCGCAAAGGTCGAAGCAAGCAAAGAAGACTGGACAATCCTCCAATTTGTTTCGAAAATGATTGTACGAAGGTGCTGGCCTGTGCTTATCGAGAACCCAAGTTAATATTAAAGTGAAACAATGAAGACTCTGTCATAGAATTTTCCAGCTCTACGCAGCTCGCAATCAAAGAGACTGTAGTCTTCCTTGTACTCCTTTATACATCGACGTCCAAACACTTCTGAATTAAATATAAAACATGTGCTTAAAGAATATGAATACACATCTGCAGCACATCTGTTGTCTATAGATACTTATGAAAAATTTCTTTGCGTACTCACTTTGACAGTTTCTTTGTTATCTAGGTTGATTACTAAAATGACCACACTTATGATTTAACAAAAATGTACAAGAAACACAAATTTCTCTCTCCGACAGACTCAGATATTTTAAGAAAATGCCCCTTTTGCCTTGTTAAACCGGATACTATTTGACTGTTTCATGGTACATGTGAACTTGTTTTTTTAAACAAAATTCTTGTTTGACACACTAAAACCAAGACTTTAAATGAAACATATTTCGTCTATTGACCTTTTCAATCATTGATACGTTTAAGATTACAAACTCCATTTGGCTGTTTGTTGAAGTTTCTATTGTTTGCTTTAATTGAACTCCCGAGATATCGATCGTTGCRGTTGAGGCGAAGTTGTGTTTACTTGGGGATTGTTATTATTGCGTTTTGACACTTGCGGTGATTTTACGTAGTTTAATCTGGCTAGACTGGGATCCAGAACCGAAGTTAAATTAATAACATATAACGAAAAAACAAACTATATTCATAAATCAGATACTCAAAATTCTATTTGTCAAGTAATTATAATTTGATTCATCGTATCGTTCTTTATTCATCTACGCAATCAATCTTCGAGTTGTGTTGCCATTGGCGGCTTGATTTGACATTTTGTCTGGGATAGGGTTACAATTTGGTTGTTTTAGTCTTGTTTTAGAGGTAGGTTTTGGTTGGATTTAGTCTTGAATAAGCTGTGCTTTCGGTCAACACAGAAACAGTGTAAATTCCGTTTAGAAGTCAGCAAAATAGGGTCAGGGTTTTGAGGTCCTTGCGGCACACCCCCACCCAAGTTGCTGAATTGCATGATAACTTAGGATAGGGCCTTATATATATAGCATACTTAGATATTTATAACATCAGCTTCACTTCGCCACTATGCTATGCTGGTTTACAGAAATATCATACTTTTTATAAGTATTACATACCACTATGCTCACTATGCTAT